TGCACCTCAAAAACTCATGAATTCTCCATGAAACGGGTGCTTCTCATGGCACTTCTGGCCGAGTCATTTGCAGGTGATCACCACCTTGACAGGTGTGGACCGGGCTCAAGCGGCGCCTCGGACGTTTCTGCTAGCTCGCTGCGGTTCAGGGATGGACACGGTGGTTTACAGCGGGTGGTTTACGTTGTTTTCATATTGGTTGATGGTTGATTGTGCTTTCTTTATCTTTTAATAGTGTTTGATATATAAACAGTTCAATTCCATCAACAAACCAATAATTACAGAGAGGTAAGGGTGTGTGTGAGACTTCTGGAGGCAATGGAGCATGGTGGACGAGGATGATGAGGATGTACTGTAAAACAGAGTAGCTTTGTATATCTTTGTATCGAAACGGCAGAGAGGAGTTCACAAGAACAAGGTTGAATATTTGAGTTCAGAACTGTAGAGAGCAGGTGTCTCGCCTGACCTGATGCGCTGACAGCTGCAGGGTGAAGGAAAAACATGTTCAATATTCCTTGTTCATTGAATTTTGGGGTCTCAAAATGATACCTAGACAGGCCAAAGTATGCCCGGAATTGCGAGCGATTCGCCAACTGAGCTACAGTACTGCAAAGCAAAGAATCAGGCAAGCCTTCCAAGTACAACGAAACACATCATAGGAAGGCATAATCAGTTTAGACAATGCACGACGAAACACAACGTGCCTAAAGAAACGAAAGACCAAACGACAGCCATGCGTGTTCCTGAGCTTCAATCAGCCCGGTGCCGTCCAAGGAACTGAATAAACGCTACGGCCTCATTAAGGACGCCCGAGGGATCGTCCGCTCAAACGAGCTCCGAGTCTCGAGGTATCCGAAGGTCTGGTTGTTCTTCCCAGAGTCTTTGTAGGAGCAAGGACGCTACTAGGAGCAATGGGCATCGCTACTAGGAACAAGGGCCTTACTACTAGTAACAAGAAGCTAGTAGAGACAAGAATTAGTAATTAGAATTCAGTTTAATTAGAATTCAAATTAGCACAGGTCTGTCCAGAGTCTTTGTTTGGACTCTGTGGTCGTTTCGGATTCTCTCACAACCATGGCCTCTGTCAGTGCATCTGGGCATCCGGTTGGAGGAATCCAATGACATTTGTTCACGCAAATCCCACATTCACCTCCCGCATAACACAATTGTCCATGAGACCAGGAGAGCTGTTTGTTCAACATTGCTTTGTGTAGCAGTGGGGTACAAAGACTTGGAAATGGAAATCCATGAATGCTGATGGGCTGGCTGATCCTGATCATGATATATTATGATCATCCTAGTGGGGTTTGTCATAGATTGTTCAATTTCTTCCACCTACCACGGGTTAAAGTGGTGCTGCAGCCTGCTTGACACTTCCTCCCAGCCTTGATTTGTGGCATATATAACACGTTCACTGCATATCACATCCCCACTACTAGGAACAAGTGCCTTACTAGTAGTAACAAGTGCCTTACTAGTAGTAACAAGAAGCTACTAGAAACAAGTGCCTTACTAGTAGTAACAATAATAACTTAATTAGAATTGTAATTAGTAGCTTCTTGTTACTACCAGTAAGGCACTTGTTACTACTAGCGATGCACTTGTTCCTAGTAGAATTGTTTTACTAGCAAAGGAATCTACTAGGACCTTTTCAAAAGGATTCAACATGTATTAAACATGAGTATCCAGCCCTGCAAAGGCCTCCAACCTAATAGCAATGGCCTCCAGCCTAATAGCGATTCAACATGTATTAAGCATGCATATCCCTGCGAGAGGAGGACTTCTACCACCATTTCTTTCTAGTTTTCTTGTAACTATCATGTGTGTGTTCGCTCCGCGTCCAGGAGTTTGCCGAGCATACCCGTATGAGTGTGAAAGCCACATCGGCCTTTGAGAAAGCGGCCACTTGGCGGGCAAATCAGAGAATCAGGAAAATCACCACAGAATTGTTTTTCACATATCTCGAACTCTCATCACATCCTCACAGAATCCAATGTCTCATGTAATTTCTCTACAGTTCACTGTAGATTCACTTGGTAGTAGGCATTCATTGGAGCCGGAAACATGTCCGTTGCAGTTGTTTCCAAAGTCTGTTTTGACCCCGAAGCGTTTGTTCCCTAGATAAGCCGCTTGGAGCGGCAACCGGGGGTCAAAAGCCTGCCGACAAACAACCGAAGGCATTCTTTCCTTTTTGCGTCCAAGTGACACCCTTGCAGGTTGGCTTTGCGCAATCCACTATTTATGGTTCAGTGTTCAATCAGCAAGAATGGTATGAAAGGAAAGTTGATGGAGAAGTTAAAGGAGGGCGCACACAAATTGGTAAACATGATTGCTTCTCTCAACCCTCAACACTAGCATCATGAAATCCATTAGAAAGACCTGACAACTTTTCTCGTCCAATTCCCATGCTTCGAAGTTCTATGACGTGCAGTAGGAAAGCATGATACCAGGCTGGAATTTCACTAGGGAGGAGGCATCTGTTTAAATCACAAGGGAGTCGAATCTAATGAACACCACATTGGCACTTGGATCAGCGGAAGTCGTCATAGTGATCACAGATTGAGTACCTCGCTAGTCGACCATCTTGCCATGTACTAGACGTACGGATTCCAACAGAAGAGCAGCCTTCCATTGTTCAGTGGGTTCCATCCATAAGCAGGAAAGGGCTTAACAGGGGGTGCTCATCTATCACAGAGTATTCATCCTATTTAATCTCCATTTACCCAGAAAGCCCACCGTGCCTCACCCGCCAAGGTACAACGCGCGTCCCACGCCGGAGAGATGCGAGTGGATCCTTCCCAGTTGCCTCTCGGAGTGAAAAAGGACACCTCCCAGACCTCTGAGACCTCATGGAGCCCCTAGTAGCGTCCTTGCTCCTAGTAGAAATGCCAGGAGCTACTAGTAGCTTCTTGTTACTAGTAGTAATGCCAGGAGCCCCTAGTAGCGTCCTTGCTCCTAGTAGAAATGCCAGGAGCTGCTAGTAGCTTCTTGTTACTAGTAGTAATGCCAGGAGCCCCTAGTAGCGTCCTTGCTCCTAGTAGAAATGCCAGGAGCTACTAGTAGCTTCTTGGTACTAGTAGTAATGCCAGGAGCCCCTAGCAACGTCCTTGCTCCTAGTAGAAATGCCAGGAGGTACTAGTAGCTTCTTGTTAATAGTAGTAATGCAGCCACGGGGCCCAAAGCCCGACGGCTTAGGGGACCAGCCCCCTGCGGCCGCTCGCCGTCCTTCGCGGGACGGAGGCGGTGTCGACTAGTCGTGCCCCACAGGTTCGACAGCTGCTTCCTGTGGCGTGTGCCGACTTGCGACCCGTCTTGTGTCCCTGCGCCATGGAAGAGCTGGAAGGTCGATTGGACTGCATCCACCAGGCTCATGTGAAAAATGAGATTCGAGGGCTCTTCGCTGGACTCACACCTGGATTCCTCCCCATGGTTGGTTCACGAACCTTCGTTGTTGGCGACGTGACTGATTTTGGGACAGATTGGTTGCAAGTGATGGCCCACTGGTTTGTACCGGGTGCTGGCTTTTCTCGCCCTGTTGAAGATAAATGCATCAAGATCTGTTTCCATGACGTTTGTCGACGTGGCCTTCACGTGTGCCCTGGCATTCAAGTTATGTGTACTGGCTTGCAGACCAGTAAGACGACAGATGACGCAGTTGTGCTGGATCATGCCACCATTGGCTTCCGACCAGAATACTCCGCTGCACTTCCGTGGGATGCGGTTCATTTCTTTTCAGGCACTTTTTGTGGTTGGAGCCAAGGGCTTCATTACGTCGATGGCACCATATGCCTGGGTCAAGAAGTTTACATTGACCACGATGTTGGTGTCATGGAACTCTGGAGTGTGAAGAACCAGGCCAACTTCAGGCCTCTTCCGTTGCAGAGAGGTACCAGCTGGTCACCAGCCAGGAGAGTTGGGCTCTGCGGCCCAATCAGTGACATCACGATCCTTGAGGCTTGCAGATCGCAAGCAAACCTGCTGAATACAATGTCCCCTCCATGCCAGAGCTGGAGCAAGGGAGGGAAACGAGCCGGACTTGAGGATGCCAACGGACGTGCCTTCCTCGACGCGCTTGTACAGAATTTTGGCCTCCAATCGTTGGCCATCGCAGCCGAGTGCGCAGATGACGTAGTTAGCCATCCACAATTTAAACTGGTGAAGTCCCTCGCACATGCCCTGGGCTTCAAACTTGTGTGGGACCAAGTCACGCCATACCATCCTTTGACCACCCATGCCAGGTCCAGGTGGCTAGGAGTTTGGGTGAGAGCTGATGTTGCTGTTCAGATGATCCCGTTTCAGTTGAACCTTCCATGTGCTCCGCGATCTCACTGGACTGATCAAGCCTACCAGTTCTTCCTGCCACAGGTTTGGACTTCACAACTGCGCCTGTCATCTTCGGAATGCCAAATCTACGACTCCATCCAGTCGTTGCCTCCGGCCAAACGTGCCAAGTTCGACCATAGAGCAGCTCAGAGCAAAGAAATCATCCGATCTCGAGTCCCGGATTCGTCACAGGTGCTTCCTACATTGTGCGCTTCATACACTCGACAGCATACACTCCATGAGAGCCACTTGTCAGCAAAAGGCATATTTGCCTCTCTCAGGGAGTCAGCCGACGGGTTTCATTTCTTTGACCCAGCCATGTTCTGCAGTTTGTTTGGAGCCACAGAGCATGTCGTCATGTCCACAAAAGTTGCTGAGTCTTTCCGTGTTGTAGGCAACGCCATCACGGTGCCTCACAGTGTACTCGCACTTGCCATCGTGTTGCACACTACTGATGCCAGTCGAGTCGATCCGGTCGGACTTGTCCGCCAGGTATGGACTGACCGCATGACCACGCACAATGCCATTCTGTTTGAAGACCAACAGTTTGTGCACTTGATTCCCAAAAGCGAGTTCTGGGATTGGGTTCAGATTCGCCCTGAGTTACCTGACTCCGGCCGTCGAACCTGTTGTGTTACAGGTGCTTGTGTGTCTCGTGACTTCTCATTTCGTGCCAGGCCTGACCAAACAATCAAGCAGCTCTTTCGGGAACAGTGCCAAGGCCCCCCAGGCCTCCTCGAGCAGATTTGTGCCTTGAATTCGGACATGCGCATCAATGACCATACAACCGTAGAGCAGATTGCCCGGCAAGAGGGCAGTGTTCGGCTTGTCATTGGATTCTGCACCCTTGGCTCGTGTGACATCATCTGCCACGCTCGGCCCACCGATCCGACTAAGGTCATCCCTTCTTTCCATGCTGAGGACCGTGGAGAAGTTGACCAGATTCTGCATATTGAGATGCCAACCTTCGACACCATTGTGCAGACCTCTATATTCTGGGACATTCGGCATGCCATCCAAACACTGCAAGATGGCGGAAGCAACACAGCATCCAAGCTGTCAATTGTGATCTTGCCAGAGCAATTTTCATTGACAGTTTACATCCCACGGGCTCACCACAAGTGTTTGATCGAGAAGATTGGCGAGCTCCCAGCCATCAGAAGTCGTAACAAAACTTCGATCATCGTGCCAGGGGAGAACTCCACTACACTCATGGTCTCAGAAGCACACGACTGTGATGAGAATCAGATGTGCGATGTCATCTTTCGAGTTCCTCAAGACCTCATTATCTGTGGAGCCACTCTGCAATCCGACCGAATTCCAGATGCCATTCAGCTCAGTCAACATGATGCTCAACTCCGGGTTGATTTGATCAATGGGACTCACAGACCAGCCAATGATCTCCGACTTCGCTGTGGTGATGTCATTGACCTGTGTGTGAAATCAACAATCCATGCAGGCGGCCATCATGCCTTCAATGGAGCACCACCGTCTCTTCCGGCTCTTTCTGACTTTACTGCCAGAGTTGAGTTCATGTGTGACACACACGGCTGGGTCGCAAGCGATGAGGTCTTCCATTACACTCAAGCCCTTCAGTGGCAGCAGAATTGGCTTCGATTCGGTTCTCCACAACTGTGGAACCCAGCAAATGGGGATTTTGAACCTCCTGTTTTTGGCGAGTTGCACATCATGAACAATGCCAACACTGCTATTCCTGTCCTCATTGGAAGTCATTGGGCTGGCATTGAAATTGACCGTCGAGGAGATCAAGTTCAGGTCACTTTTATCCAAGTCCCGGCATCCTTGCACACGGCTCTGACATTCCTTGTCGGACGCTTGTTGGACATTGCTCCTCACCGATTCCAGGTCAATACGGAACAAAGTGATCCACCTGATCATCTTTGTGGGTGGCTCCTTATCTATCGATGGTACCTCAGACATGGGCTTCAGGACGGCATTGCTGACACTACGTCACACATCACCCTGAATGGCGAATACAACGAGCTGATCCAGCTTGCAATGCAGTGTTCCAGTGAGGATTGGGCCCAGGCACAGATGTCAAATGATGTCGGGAGATTGGCTTACACCCTTCGCAAGAACTTTTTGTGTTTTCTGGGAAGGCGTGAAATGCAGGGAAGACCACATCCACAGGTTGCTCTTCAGACTGCCTGTCCACCACTTGGCAATCAGCCGACTCTACAGATTGTTCAACCAGTTCCTGCAAATGGTCAAGCTCCACCACGCATTGACAGATCGCGCCTCGTGACTGAGCGCATCCGCTTTCGACTTGCCCAAATTCTACGACACCCAGGCTGGATGACGTCTGACGAGCTTGATATTGCACTTGAGGCCCCCAGAGCACTCAATCCAATGACATTATTTTGTGCTCCTGCTTCCTGGAATGTTGGCGCCTCGCACCTCCATTTCTACAACGACATCATTCCGGACTATAGAGCATACAACCAAGTCATTTGGATTATTGAGGTCGATCAGCACTGGGTTCAAGCGGAAGCCTACCTTCATGAAGAGGCCTCCAACTTTGCGTTCACCTTTCCTGCTGAAAGTCGGATTTTGCTTCAGCCACTTGTCAACCACTTGGTCAACATTACTGGAGCCCGAGACACGCAGGTTTCTGTGCACTTCTATGATCAAGTGGCTCCGCAACACATGTGCGGCTATCATCTCGTTGCTGTCATCTACCAGAGACTCACTGCCAATTGTGCTCCGCTACAACCTGCCCAGAGGCGGGTACTCAGCTTTCATCCGTTGGCAGCTGACTTCGACCGTGCACAGTATGAAGCCAGAGAACTTTGGATTGCCGCCCAGGCTCACCCGCATCTGATCGAGTTTGCCTCCCGGATTCGAGCCTGGTACCTCGTCAGAGTTGCGGAGAACCGATTCCCCATCCAGTTCATCGCTGCTGGTGCAGCTCCGGATGACGATGTCACCATGAAGCCAGCTGAAGTCAAGCCTGCATCCGGAGGGACCTCACGAGCTTCAGCTAGCCCATCCACCGAGGCCAAGGATCCATGGCTCAAAGCTGACCCGTGGCTGCGCTCTACGCCTCGGCCGGCGCAAAGCAGATGGGAAGACCTCATCATCAAAGAACCGACTCCATTTACTGGCACTGACGGCTCCAATCTCACTCAGACCCACCGTCTTCAGGTCGGAGCAGCTCGAGGAGGCATTGTATTTGCCACCAAGGCGAATGTGCAAGAGATCCTCAAAGCGGGTGGCTCCTCTGATCTCGCCATCTTGCTTCCGGCCAGTGACAATATCTCGCTTCCCAATGTCACACAGAAGCTACAAGGCCCGTTCGAACTATCGGTTGACGACATTGCTGCCAAAATCGCGTACAAGCGTTTAGTTATGATGCTGGTTGTTCGTGGCACCATCAATTTCAAATTGCCCGAGCCGATTGCAAAGGTCACAACTGGAGCAATTCGCGAGGTCGTACTCGAAATTGACAGCAGACTTACCAACAAGTCCGATTTTGAGCGGTTCAAGGATTCGCCTATTTCGTCGTTCAAAGCCTTGCTAGGTGAGATTGTGCCGAACCTTGATAGCTCTGCAGCCATTTTCGGCTTTCGTGTCGGCCATCACCCGAGTGGAAGCAAGCAGGAACCTCTTCTGCAGTGCATTTTGAAAGCCCCTCATGCTGTTCGCACTCCACTCATCGAAGCCAGTGGATTTTCGCCCCTCCTGACGCGAGACTTCCTGGAAAAGGGAAAGAACAGCGAGGACACGTCCGTCCTGCCCCGCTTTTGGCCTCCTACGATGCCAGAGCTCGCCAACATTCGCAAAACAGTTGAAGGGACTGAAGGGCTCGCCGGCCTCGTTCTCACTCGCAGGGGAATCGCCCCCAGGGTTTGGATTTCCAAGATCGGTAAGGCTCGTGCCCAGCTTCTTGCAGAAGACCCAAGAGTCCTTCCTGAGAACATTGACATTGTGCCTCGATACACCTTTTCTTTCGCTGGTTGGCCTGCGGCCACCGGGGCACAACATGTCGTCAAGTCGACTATGCAGGCTTTGCGCCTTCCTGTTCTGCCGTTGAGGACATATCGTGCAGCCGGAGTCCATGTCTGGATTGTCACTTGCGACAAAAAGCCAGTTGTCACTTCCTTCCCGCTGCAAATCAATGCCGACGTTGTTGAGATTCTCATCCAAGAAGTTGACAACACGCAGCCAAAGCCCGGCAAAGCCGCCGGTAAAGGAGGCCCAAAGGGCAAGGCCAAGATGCCAATTCCTGCGGAAAGTGCAAAGTCATGGTCGGTTGCTCCAGCCATTGTGCCTTCTGGAAGCAAGGCTGATGACGCCAGGCTGCAGCGACTTGAGGAACGCTTCGAGAAAATTGAGTCTCGTCAGGCTACCTTCGAAGCAAGGGTCGATGGCAAATTTGATACCATCCAAGATGCCTTGAGACAGATTCTCGTCAACACCAATGGGCGATCCCGTGAGCCGACAGGAGAATCACCTCCTGCGAAAGCGCTTAAACAGTCATGAGGGCTTAGGGTGGGGGCTTGGCCTCCTTTGCTGTGGACTTTTCTTTCGTGTTGTGCTTGGCCTGTTCGATTTCGTTGGTTTGGACTCTTTCTGGTTCAAGCTCTCACCGTGTCCTTGTGCTTCCTTGCTGGGCCTTCATTTGGCCTCTGCTTTTGGGGTTCTCGCAATTGCTTCAATTGCCACTACTTTGCCTCAGTCAGGAGGACGACATGTGCCTCCATCACGACTGTACTCTCGTTAATGGACTTTGGACTTCGCCACTTCGCATCATGCCAGCTTCTTTGTCTTTGGTTGTGCGTGTTCGTTCCTTGCTGTCTTAGGTTTCATGTGTGGAGTGACACGGTCCTTCAATTCAATGTGGATCACCAATCAGCAGGCTGGACCTTCCAGCCTCTCAGTTTTGCTGCGCCAAAAATGTGCAAAGAGTGCGCCTCAGTTCGTTTGTTCAAGTATGTGAAAGAACTGAAACTCGAAATGTGGTTTTCATGTTCGCCTTCCTACCAGGCCCCCTGGTCTCAGTTCGCCTTCGATGCTACCCTCGGTTTCCCGGGAGAGGGGCCTCCGGTGATACCTATGACGATCGTCTCTGCCAATGTGGGATCCATTATGTCCAATCCTTCCTGGAAGTCTTGGGACGCCGATGTCGTTTGTTTGCAAGAAACCAGAGTCGGAAAGAATAATCATAGATCTGCGGCCAAGCAATTCCAAAACGCAGGGTTCACTCCTTGTTTTGGGGATCTCCTCCCTGGCCTCTGGTATGGGGACAAGATCACAAAGACACCTTGTGGAGGCACTCTCATTGCCGGGGGGAATGCTTACATTCGGCCCTTCGAATGTCACCATGATTCCACTGGCCTGTATCAATCCTTGTTCAAAACCAAACGGATTGTGGCTGCATGGCTTCAAGTGACCCAAACCAAGAGGGCTCTTGTCATTTCCTTCTATGGTGCCACCAGCGCCTCGCAGGACCCCAAAATTCATGCTGAAAACAATAGGATCTTGGAAGACCTGTTTGCCTTCATCTCTCAATTCGGCAAAATCCCAGTAATTGTTGCCGGTGACCTCCAAGCCCCACCGATGTCTTATCCTGCTGTTGCTATGGCCGTGTCTTTTCAGTCTTGGCACGATCCTGTTGCTTGCGTCAATGAAGAAGGTGAGTGTACTCGGCCGCTGACGTTTAGCAATGATGGCACCTTTTCTGGGGTTGGGGACTCATGTACCTCGATCGACGCAGTTTTGCTCAATGATATTGCTTTTGCCGCTCTTTTGAATGCCGAGGTTGTTGAAGTCTTTGGCAAACAACACAGACCCATTCGTTTGTCGTTCGAATGGTCCTCGATCAACCAGACCGGATACCACCTGTTCAAGACTGCCCCCTTTGTTCTTGATTCGGTTCACGAACCTCTTGAACAAACCTCCTTTTCGTGGGACGCTCATGGGAAAGAACCCTACCATGCCGCGCAATCTGCGGAACAAAAGTGGGATGTCAACAATTTCCTCCAGGAGGCCATTTTGGCCAAGGGTGCTGTTTGGGGGAAGGGGCCTCCCACTAGAGGGCAAGAGCCGGTTTTTGTTCGGAAGACCATTGCACCAAAACAACTGGCGACTCATTGTGCTGCAAACTGGAAAAGTGCTCAGTTAGCTCACCTTGTTGGAAAGCTCCAAGAACTTTTCATCAGACTTTCGAGACCAGCAGGTTCGGCTCAAGACCAATTCATCACGAAAAGGACTGCCACAAAAGCACATCGGTTGCTTGAAACATGCAAGGCGCCGGTGTTGTGGCCTCATCCGAGTGACCCGTGTCTTGTTGATATTCACCTTGCACTCAAGTGGGCCCTCGCTGCAACTCGTACCTTTGATCTTCAATTGCGAACTGCTAGAATTAAAAGATGGAAGCTGCGTATCAAGCATTCGGCACAGCATGGTTGCACCTATATTTTTCATCACTTGAAGAACAAACAACTCGAGGAACCTCCCAACTTAGTCGTTGATTCTGAGCAGAACATTTTGTTCCATCCTAATTCGGCCCTGTCCTTTCTTAACCAGACCTGGGATGATATCTATAGTGCCAACGCTCTAATTCATCATCCACTCAAGATGTTAGAAACGGTCTGGCCGTACATTCGGGAAGAGCAAATTGCTGCCGATATTCCTCCGGTTACTGGAACAGATCTTTTTCGAGTGATACAGAAACGCAAGCCACATGCCGCGCCTGGTCTGGATGGCTGGCGTACGCTTGAACTGCAGACTTTCTCTCCGGCCGAACTGCAGCCGTGTGCCGACTTTTTCACGTTGATTGAGGACTCCTCCCTCCCTCTGCCGACGTCTCTCGTCACTGCAAAGCAAGTTATTTTGAACAAAGCCGGCCCATCAACCCCCCTCAACAAGAGACTGATTACGATTTTGCCGGCCCTTCTGCTCGCCTATACGGGAGCTAGGTTTGCCCAGCTCCAAGAGTGGCAACGGATTGTAATGCCTGTTTCTATCCTTGGGGGCATTAAGGGTAGATTTATGTCTGACCTTTATAACCAGATTCGCCTCGACATTGATGATGCTCATCTTCAGGGGTCAACACTCATAGGCGTCAAATTGGACAAAGCCAAAGCCTTTGACCGGATTATTCCCAGTTTCGCTGCGGCCTTGTTTCTGGCCTTTGGTGTTCCCCGAGGCATCGTCAGTTTCTTTGTCAAAATCTATGATGGCTTGCGGCGACATCTTTCCTACCGCAACTGGATGTCACCCGCAGCCACGACTGCTTGCAACGGTGTTTGCCAGGGATGCTCTTTGTCGCTTTTAGCAATGAACGCCTACACCAAAGTCTGGTGCCACTTGCTTGAGCATTTGCCCGAAATTCACATTAGAGCATATATCGACGATTCGTACCTGTGGTGTAAACTCCAAAACGCGGCTATTCTCGAGAAGGCCATCCAGGTCACAAAAATCTGGGATTTTTTGAGTGGGCAGAAACTCAATGAGAGTAAGTCCTCCCTCTGGGGCACCTCATGCAATGCCAGAAAGGACCTCAAGACTAGATTTCCTGGGTACCCCGTGGTTCTGGAGTTGGATGTGCTGGGGACCAAGGTGTATACGTCGGATAGACAAAACTTTGGGTTCTCCGATACAAGGCTTCGAAAGATCCTCACTGATATTGAAAATGTCGCTGCCCTCCCTGTCAGCAAAACAATTAGAAGTTTTCTCATTGGGGCTAAGATCATTCCACAAATGTCGTTCGGCATTCACATCTCCAAGGTGCCACAACAAGCGATTTAAGGCCATTCAGAACGCAATTGCTAAAGCCTTGTGGGTAGGTCAACCCCTTTGGCGCTCCAAACAGCTTTTGCAATGTGTGCTGTCCGCACCCCATCGCACTGATCCAAAATATGCTTGTGCTTATTTGACCATTGTTGAGATTATTCGGTTGTGCTTCAAGAGTTCGGGGGCCTCTGCCAAGCTTCTCAACACATGGCAAAATCAGCGAGGCAACCATGCACTTGCTAAAGGGCTGAAAGAAGCTTTCGATACCCTGGGAATTGCTTATGATGAT